GACAACTTTGGCTGGAAGAGATGGGGGAGAGTGTGTAGGCACAGGGAACAGCATAAAGCAAAGGTCTGGAGGCAAGATTTACCAGGTATGTTCAAGAGGGTGTATTCCTGATGTGAAAGGAAGACAGATCTGTGCAGCCTTGTTCAGGCATCGGGGCTTCTCCTGAGGAAGATGGGGGGTCATTGAGGAGGATGACCTGGTCCGACTAGTGAAGGGTGGATTGGAAAGAGTGAGACTAATAATAAAAGCTAATCTATATTGAGTGCCGAGCCCAGGGCTGGGTGCTTTTTTTTTTTTTAAAAAAAATATATATATTTTATTGATTTTTCACAGAGAGGAAGGGAGAGGGATAGAGAGTTAGAAACATCGATGAGAGAGGAACATCGATCAGTTGCCTCCTGCACACCTCCCACTGGGGATGTGCCCACAACCAAGGTACATGCCCTTGGCCAGAATCGAACCTGGGACCCTTTAGTCCGCAGACCGACGCTCTATCCACTGAGCCAAACCGGTTAGGGCAGGGCTGGGTGCTTTATATGTGTTAATAGAATGCCCACGATCATTTCTGAGGTAGGTGCTATTATTATGTTCATTTTGCAGAAAATGCAGGCCCAGAGAGGTTAATTTGCCAACGTCGCAGTTAAGTGTCAGTGTCAGGATTTGAACCCAGGCAGTGTGACTCCAGAGTCTCTGCATTGAGGATGTGCCGAGGAGGGTGTTGCAGGAATTTGGGTGAGAGAAGATTGAAGAATTGAAGGCAACCTGAATTAGGTCAATATCCACGGAGATGGGGAGAAATAGATGAAGTTGAGATTTTCAGGGCTGGTGGTTGATTGGATGAGGGACTTGGAGACAGGGAGGAGTCGAGGCTGCATCCCTGGTTTGTGACCTGCGTGTCAGGGTGAATGGGAGTGTTGGTCCTGGGTGTGGGGACCCAGGTTGGATCACGGCGGGGGCTGGTGGGAGGTGATGAGTTCAGGTTGGGGCCTGGTGAGGTGTGGCACAGATGTCCTGGAGGAGGTGATCTAGAGGAGACAGACATTTGGGCACTGAGATGAGGAAGGGGGTGAGGGCTGGAGATGGTGATGCTTGGAGGTCATTGGTCACTAGGTGATTGCTGGTGCTGTGATGGTGGCTGAGATGATGGGGTCCCCATCTGACACTACTGGTGTTTAGTGAGCAGGGGGCAGAAGTGCCAAATGTCCTCCAATTAATGGGGCGCTCAGTGCTAATAGTCCATACCCCCAACGGAGGGTCACTGAACGAGAGTGTGTAACCCTAGGGAAGGCCAGGGAGCTTTTGAGAGCAGGTGATGGAGACAGGAAGAGCAGCCAGAGAGGTGGGCATGGGAGCCTGTTTTAGAGGAAGTTATGTTAAAGCAAAGGGAATAGAGAATTTCACCAAGAAGCAGGTGGTCAGGAATTGTCACAAAGGTGAAGGGGTATGGTGGGGAAGGGGGTGATTTGAAGAATGAGGCTGTGTAGGTATAGAACTATTTGGAGTTGGAGGTGTTGTTTATGGGGTTACAAGAGAAGTTAAAGTTATAAAAGCCCTAGCGGGTTTGGCTCAGTGGATAGAGCGTCGGCCTGCGGACTGAAGGGTCCCGGGTTCGATTCCGGTCAAGGGCACATGCCCAGGTTGTGGGCTCAGTTCCCAGTAGGGGGTGTGCAGGAGGCAGCCAATCAATGATTCTCTCTCATCATTGATGTTTCTACCTCTCTCCCTCTCCCTTCCTCTCTCAAATAAATAAAAATATATATTTTTTAAAAAGTTATAAAAAAGGGACTTTTAGGCCTACACAGTGTCAGGAGGAGGACCCTCTCTTACCACCTGATAATAGTTCTCACTGCTCCTGCTCAGTCAATTGGGTTGAAGTTCTGGATTGGGCCTGCTGCACTTCCACCTCCAGACAGGGAGGGAGGTCCCTGGGAGGGAGGTCCCCATCCTTGGAGCAGGTACCAGGTTGGCACTCACTCAGAGAAGCCTGTATCCCTTGGCCCCCTGTCTCCTTTTTTTAAAAAAATATATTTTTATTGATTTCACAGAGAGAGGGAGAGAGAGATAGAAATATCAATGATGAGAGAGAATCATTGATTGTCGGCCTCCTGCACACCCCACACTGGGGATGGAGCCCACAACCCGGGCATGTGCCCTGTCCTGGAATCGAACCACGACCTCCTGGTTCATAGGTCAACGCTCAACCACTGAGCCACACTGCTTGGGCCGCCCTGTCTCCTTTTAAGTCTTCATGTCTCTGGCATTGGTCTGGCTGCTAAGGTGCAACTTGCTGCATTTAGTTCCTCGCACTTTCCTTAGGAACCTAGGAGATTCCTGGGCAGTAGAAGGAGGAAAAAGATGGGGGTGGGGTCGGGTGGGGGGTGCAGCTAGTCTGATGAGTTGTTGACTTTGAAGGTTGATCTAGACTAGGCTGGGTCTGACCATGCTCAGATTCTGTCTCTTTGAAGTCAGCCAGAGACAACGCTACCACTGGGTTAAGCAGGAAAGCCCAAATACTAGAGCAGTGATTCTCAACCTTCCTAATGCCGCGACCCTTTAATACAGTTCCTCATGTTGTGGTGACCCCCAACCATAAAATTATTTTCGTTGCTACTTCATAACTGTAATTTTGCTACTGTTATGAATCGTAATGTAAATATCTGATATGCAGGATGTATTTTCATTGTTACAAATTGAACATAATTAAAGCATAGTGATTAATCACAAAAACAATATGTAATTATATATGTGTTTTCCGATGGTCTTAGGCGACCCCTGTGAAAGGGTTGTTCGACCCCCAAAGGGGTCGCGACCCACAGGTTGAGAACTGCTGTACTAGAGGAAGACAGCCTGCTCGTGCCACCCCTGGCCTGCAGGGTGCACTTTGGGACCACCACACCCGCTGTGCAATACTGAGAGGTTTCCCTTCCAGCTGATGAAGAGCTGCTGTCTCGTGCCCGTAGGGCTTCCTCTCTAGCCTGGCCCAGCCCCTAAGAGCCACCCTCCATTTCCCCACCATCTGGCACCAAAAGTCAAGGGTGCTTGACTTTCTTGTGTGTCATGGACCCCTTTGTTATTGTCTACTGAAGCATATGGCAACACGGTTTTTATGTACATAAAATATATTGTAATCCTATATTTTATGTATTGAACACTACATATAGACACCTCTATCTATATCTATTCTGAAATACCTGTAATGTAATATGAAAACATCTATGGTTTCTCTTCTTATTTTTTTTATTTCTTTATTGATTTCAGAGAGGAAGGGAGAAGGAGAGAGAGAGAGAGAAACATCAATGATGACAGAGAATCATTGATTGGCTGCCTCCTGCATGCCCCACACTGGGGATCGAGCCCACAACTCAGGCATGTGCCCTTGGCCGGAACTGAACCTGGGACTCTTCAGTCCGCAGGCTGACGCCCCATCCACTGAGCCAAGCCGGCTAGGGCTATGGTTTCTCTTCTTAATGGCAAAGTCACAGCTTCTGCTAAAGCTACTGTGCTTTGTTGCTGACATTCATAATCAAGGGAGATGCTAAATTTGAGGTGGAGATGAGTAAAAACGAAGGTGTAATTTCTTTCATTGGACCCATGAATTCTAACCAGTTTAAAACCAGGTGTAGAGCCCCTGAACAAAAGGGATCATTTCCCCCAAAGGGTCTTCCAGACCCTGCATCCATTCAGACTGTTGCTCACCCTAAAATGGTGGTTGAACGCTTGGTGTAAGGTGGCCAGCAGAGGGCAGCATATGAGCGGGAGTGTGGGCTCAGCTCAGCGAGGCACTGTTGCCCAGTTTTAAAAGTCTAAGGGCCAAGCCTGGTTACAAACAACAACAAAAAAAGAAACTCTCAAGTCCCATCAACTTGCTACCTGTCTTAGCTGCGTGGGGGCCAGTTCAGGCCCCAGCTGAATGGGCCCATGGGACAGAGGTCTGACTGAGGAGCCCTGGAGCTGTCCTCTGCTCACTAGCTAGGCTGGAGGTGTACAGTATGTTTGTCTGAGGCCCCAGGGTTCGGAGTCTGAGGCAAGGAAGCAGGTCCCAGTAAAGTTCTCTCCTGAAACACTTGCCTTGTTCTTGGGGGCTTGGGCATTCAGACCCAGGCCTAGGGTTGGTCAGAACTGGGGGGTACTATCACCTGGGGGCTTGACATTGACCCTTCACCCCCTCCTATACAGCCAGGGCTGGGTGGGTCTTCCTCTTGGGTGTACGGACTGGCCATGCTTCCCCCACTCCTCACCCTACCCTATCCCTCTAGGCCCAGACCCCGCCTTGGAGCCTCTTGTGGGAAGGTACTGGTGTGTCTCCGTACGAGATCTGCAGAGCTGTCCTCTGGGGCAGGCAGGCAGGCGATGTTGGCCGGCCCCCAGGCCTGGCCCCTGGAAGAGCTTTCTAAGCACAGGCCCCACCTGTGGCTGTTGTAAGACTGAGGCTCATGCGAGTGCTTTTGGCTCCTACACCTTCGCATCCCTGTTCAGGCAGAGTGGGGGGCTGCCTCTCAGGCTGCCCTTTGGTGACAGCAACCTGTCTGCAGGTGGCAGCTGGGAGGTGAGCCTGAAGTGGGACGGAGTAGGCCCCGACCCTCCAGGGACCAGCAGTGCATAGCACCCGGCTATGCTCTGATCATGTCACCTGTGGAACCCAGAGCCCAGCCAGGGAAAGATGGGGGGCAGGAAGGCACAGCCTGGACAGGGAAGTGACCCTTCTTGTGCGAGGAAATGAGAGTGGGTGGATCTCAGAGGGGGGACAAGGGGAGGGCATCCTCTCCCTCCGGGCAGGACAGCTGCTTCTTTGCATCCCTTTGAAAGTTCACCTGGGAAGACGCTCTGCCCACATTCCCCCTCATCCTCTCGGCTGGTCAGAAGGCTGGTCAGAAAGTCCTCCCAGATGCTTCCCAGTCCTGAATGAGGGTGGGGGGAAGTCACAGGCCCAGGGCACCTACAGTCAGTGCGGCCTGACGGTTCTCCCTAGGGAGAGAGGTCCAGAAAGGAAGGCTCGGAGCTGAGACCACATGGCACTTGCTTTATTGTTCCAGGGCAAGGGACAATGGCAGGCCATTGAGGGATCTGCCTGTGCCTCTCCTGAGGCCAAACTCTGTGGGTTCTTGTCGTCCCCAGGCCCAGGGTAGGCTGAGGTTCCCACGTGGTGGGGGTTGGGCTCCCAGGTAGGGCCTGGCAGGCAACAGGGCCACGCCCCCAGCTCCAAGGGCATCCCAGGTCTGTCAAGCAGTCAGAGAGAGGGGACATGGGTGCTCCCCGTCAGCCTGTGCCAGGCTTCCCTTCCCTGAATGCCCAGGCTGCCTCAGACCGTTGGAAGTAATTAGTAAGCTGGGGCCTAAACTACATGAGCTTATAGAGAAGGAGTGAGACCAAAATGACTTGGAGGGGCCCTGCCTACACCCAGGGCTGGGAGGAGAGGATACTTTCAAGTTTCCAAGGGCAGGGGCTTTTCCAAACACTTTGTGTCGGAATTGGGCTCAGTTTGGGCCTGGGGTGGACATGGTCCCTCCTGTGTGTCACCTGGGGCTAGACAGAGCATGTGCTGAGGATGGGCAGAGTCGGTGCTGCTAAACAGCAGCCCCCTGGGGAGTCCCCGGGCAACGTGGGGAGAGGAAGGCTCCGTGTCTCCTCCTCCCTCACAGGCTGCTGGAATGAAGATGGGAGAATAAATACCTCGACTTCGGGGAAGATCATGCCTGGAGGGGGCCAGGCCCAAAGAGAATGTGGGCGTCAAAATAGTGGTCAGGGTGGTCTTGGGCCTGCATGGAGGTCACCAAAGCTCTCAGCTGCCCCCGAAAGCAAGTCAGGCTCTGTGACGTAGTTCCGGTTCCTCAGGATAGAAGGCGCGGGGGTGGGTGTATGTCTGAATGACAGTGTGTACGCACGGGCACAGGTGCAGGGAGGCTTGAGTGTGGATGAGTGAGAGCGGGTGAATTTTTTTGCCCAGACACTTGTTCTCAGGGGCTCTGAGTGAGGAGCTGGCACCGGGCAGCAGAAATGTGTGAGGGGTAGCATCCTGGGTGGTGTCTCCACCCCTGGCTGTCAGCTAACAAACAAGTTGGCTTCGTGGCAGAGGGGACAGGGAGAGTTTTCCTTCTTTGACCTTTAAGGTGAGCCCGATGTGGGCGGCCAGCGGGGACCTCCAGGCCAGGCCAAGGCTGGAGCTGCTGCCGGGCATGGCTCATGCTAGGGCCATGGGCTTGGAGCTGGGGCTGAGGTACACAGAGGGGCCAGCGGGGGCCGTGGGGGGCGGGGGCTCCAGCTCCATGAAGGCTGAGTAGAGGGTGGTGAGGTGCAGGTCACCCAGGGCTGCCGAGCCCCCGCTGCCTGGTGATGCCAAGTCACCCGCCCCACTGCCTGTCTCTCCCAGACAGGGCCCTGGAGGGAAGCAGTGGGGAGGTGGCGGCATTGCAGATGATGTCGGGGATGAGGTCACCAGTACCAAGGGGTCGAGGGCCAAGCTGTCATCCTTCAGCTGTTCCCACAGGTTTCCTAGTGGGGGGATAGAACAGGCATCACTGGGAGGCACCCAAGGGGCCCGTCTGCCCCCACCCCGTCTCTCCCATGCTAAACAGAGCACAGTTTGGGTAACATTTGCTGGGGAACAGACCCTGGCACTAGCTGTGTGACTCCAGGCAGTTGCAGAACCTCTCTGACTCCTCCTCCCACGTGTGGTCTAAAAGCCATAGCCTGGATGACTGTGTGGCTCTCTTTTGGGAGGTGGAGAGGGTTGAGGATTTGAGAGCTGCCTATTGGAAGGGTTGATGCAGGTACTGTGCGCTCCAGGGTTAGCCTGGGGAGGGAGCCCCAGGAACTCTTCACCCTGGCTGCTACCCAGGCTCCAAGGAAGGAGGATCTGCAGCCCAGACCACGGATCTTCTAATAATGCACCGCTCGACCCGATGAGACGATGAGACAGCTGGACTTGCCTCCCTGGGCCTCCTCTACGGCAGGGCCCGAGGGACAGGAGCAGAGCCAGGAAGCGCACCTTACTCCGAGGAGAACTAGTGCTGTGGCCTCACAGCCTTCTTTATGTCATGTGACCTGCATCCTGGCAGGCCAGGCCCTGGCGACTGCCCCGGGTATCTGGTGGCAGGAGGCTGGACTAAATACTGAACTTAGTTGTCAGGATTCCAATCCCAACTCTCCCTCTTTCTAGCTACGTGACCTTGAGCACGTTACCTAACCTCTGTGCTTCTGTGAAATGTGTTTAATAATCCCTCCTATCCTGCAGGCCCATATAAGGAAGCACATGCAAAGCGACTAGCCTGCTGCCTGAGAGTAGGGGTCAAGTACATGTTCATGACTAGAGCTTCCTCTGAGGCCGTTGAGCCTGCTTCCCACTTCTGGATGGGAGTGGGGTGAGGATCTAGCTTCCTAAAGCCTGTACCGTCTCCCCACCAGACTGGGAGCTCTCGGAGGGCTGGCTGCCTCCACCTGCTTGTGGATATTCCCATCCCAGCGTACGCAGGGGGTCGGAGGCCTGGTTTAGCACAAGCCACCAAACCTCCTCTGTCCAGTAGCAGGGCCGGGGGTGCACTGGAGTTCAGAGGGACACATCTGGGGCTGGTCACATGCAGAGACGGAGCAGACAAGATGGAGCGGAATGAATAGAACCTCCCCCCTGACTCCTACCCTCAAATCTCTCCTGGACCTGCCTGGTTCTGAGGCTTTACATTCTTCTAGGGGGGAAGATATCTTTCCTTTTACTGCATTAAAAGATGAACTCTGTGTTGTTGGCTTCGGCAGCACATATACTAAATTGGAACGATTGGAATGGATAGAACCTCCCCCCTGACTCCTACCCTCAAAGCTCTCCTGGACCTGCCTGGTTCTGAGGCCTTGCATTCTTCTAGGGGGGAAGATCTCTTTCCTTTTTCTGCATTAAAAGATGAACTCAGCCTGGGTGGTGTGGCTCAGTGGTTGAGCATCAACCTATGAACCAGGAGGCCACGGTTCAATTCCTGGTCAGGGCACATGCCTGGGTTGCAGGCTCGATCCCCAGTAGGGGGCGTGCAGGAGGCAGCCAATCAATGATTTTCTCTCATCATTGATGTTTCTATCTCCCTCTCTGAAATAAAAAAATATATACTTAAAAAATTTTTTAAAAGATGAGATGCAACTGGTTCTGGGAACGTTAGGACTATCAGTCGCTCACAGCTAAGTATGGAATGAAACACCAGGCCCCTCCAGCCTACCCAGAGCTGAAAGGAGTTTGACGGTGGGGTTAGTGAGAGCACATTCAGAGGCACCAGGAGGGGGACAAGGGCATTCCTCTTGGCCCCCTGACACCCCCTGTCTGCTTTGCCCCAGCCTCTCTGCTTCAGTGCCTGGACACCTGGCAGCTAGCCGGCTGCAGCCCGGAGACTTGGAGGGGATGGGCCACACTGCCAGGTGGACCTCTCCAGCTTCGTCCCACCTCCCCTTTCCCACCCCCAGCTCACCCTGGAAGTCAAAGTCGGTGAGCGAGGGATTGATGGCATCCAGGTCAGTGCCGAGATCTCCGTCTGGCAGCAGGGTGTCATGCATGGTCCTGGCTGGGGAAGGCTCAGCCAGCAGCTTGGTGCTGTGGCTGGGTGGGGTGTGGGCCGGCAGAGGCGAGTCCTGGGGGGTGCCTGGCTGGGCCCGCAGCTCAAGGTGACCATCTGGCTGCGGGAACAATGGCTGCGGAGGTCCAGGAGGGCCCAGGCCCGGTGAGAGGTGTGAGTATGTCTGCCCATAGCAGGAGGGCGCGTGGCCCCCAAGTAGGTCCTGCAGGGGGTTTTTGCCAGGAATGGGGCCTGGAGCTGGGTGGATTGAGTGCAGCGGCTGGGAGAGCCCAACTGGAGGTGCCAGGGGCTGGATGGGGCCTGAGCCTGCCAGCCCAGGGGGTGGGCAGCCCAGGAGTGGGGTGCCCAGCTTCTCCCTCTTGTCTCCAATGAGGCTGTCCAGCTCTTCTGAAAAAGCCCAAGAGAGAGGGATACCATGAGACCTCCCTTTCCCCACAAACCCTCCCCAGCCCTGGAACTGCACGCAGGCCCTCTCCTTACTCAGCAGTTTTTCTTTTTCAGTTTCCCTCTCCCCGTTTGCTCGTGGGAACCCTGGCCTTCCCTCACAGCCTGCCTGCCTCACCTGGCTTGGCCATGCTCTTGCGCACAGCTATGGGGTCTTTCCTCTTCCACTTCTGCAGCTCCTCCTGCATCTTGTCGATCTTGGCTGGATTGAGGGCCCACAGGCAGCCCTTGCGAGAGGAGCTTCCCGATTTGTTCTCCACCTTCTCGAAGCATTTGTTGAGAGAGAGGTTATGGCGGACAGAATTCTTCCATCCATCGGGCGCCGTCTGCCGGGGCAGAGCAAGACAAGAAATGAGGCCGGGATCAGGCAGCCAGAGCTGGCTCTGGGTCTGGGCTCCAGAAAACTCCACTGTGCACAGAACTGCTGCCCACTCTGGGGCTGGTCCTCCTCAGCACCAGCCCAGGCTCCGTTCCCTTCAGTGGTGGGGGAAGGGCTGCAGGAACCTTGACTACAAGTCATTCTCACCTAAAATCTGCCTTTCTCCTACCCAATCCTGGCCGACTGCGAGGATGGTCCAGGTGACTCATAAGGGAGGGCCAGTGGGTGCTGCAGAGGCCCAGGCCTCTCCCGCACCTGGAATCGGACCACTCCCCATGGGGCTTGGAGCCTGTGCTTGGAGCCCTTTGTGGAAAGGGAACTCACTGCTCTGAGGCCTCTGGTGCCAACTTAGGAGAGAGAATGAGGGGGAAGCTCTGGAATGTTCTCCTGGGTCGGCCCCATCCCTGCTGGGGCAAATGTGGGAGAGAAGAAAGCTGGGTGAGGTTGGTGTTTGGGTGTGTGCACTGTTGCACATCTTTTTGCTCTGTGTGTGTATGAGCTCGCACATGTCCCTAAATGTGCCTCCCTGGTGTGAGCTTGTCTCCTGGGTATGAGTCTGTAAATTCCCGAGTGTGAGGATGTGTCCCTGAAGATGAGCGTGTGTGAGAAAGTCTCTGCTGTGTGTGGGTATCTGTGATTGCATGTGTACGTGGGTGTGAGTGTTCACATGAGTGTGCCCGAGGGGGCGTGCCCTGGTGGGGAGGCCAGGCCTCGGGGTGGTGGTGCTCGTGCCAACAGAATAAACACCCATTAGGAAGCCTGGTCATGTCACCAGTGCAGTAATTGTGCCCAGGGAATGTTGTAAAAACCATTAGGCTGACTCAGTTGGGTGAGAGGCGGTGGCGGGGGTGCCGGTAGGCACCCGCAGTCCTCCTACCTCCAGCTCAGTTCCAGGCTCTGTGCCGGTCCTGGGCCCAGCAGGGGTGACTGTGGATAGAGTTTCTGCTCTGGCCAGTGGGACCCCTCCCCCTTTCAGGGCCCAGTTTCTGCTTAATGAGGGGCAGCCACTCCCTCCTCCCCGGCTCACTTGCCCCAGGGAGCAGCCAGGCTGAATCATGCCCAGCAGAACGGGGCTCTGATGCCAGCGTCACTGCAAGCTGCTGGCAGGAGCTACAGAGTTTTTCTTAAGGGCAGCTGGCCTGGGCAGGGTGCTGGTTGAGATGACCCCCCAAGGCTCCTGGGGTCACAAGGAAGAATTCTTGAGCCACCAGATCAGTCATCTGGGGATTCACCTTCAACTCCCATGACAGTCCCTACTAAGAGTCAAGGCTGTGTCGTCTGATGGGCAGAGTTAATGGGCACTGGACCCTTTTATAGCCCCATAAATCTGTGAATTCAGATGCCAGGGCAGCTCCCACCCCAGCCACTTCCTGTTTGGAAGAAGGATGGTCAGCACTAGCAATTATGTCCAGTGGCTGGACATGTCCCCAATCCCACAACCCTGACTCATGGGGCTACAGGACGCCCACCTCGGCTACCTCGGGCATGAGTGCTGCCCACTCCAGGGTCCCCTCCGTCCTTGCCTTCAAATAGGGAGTGAGAGATAGAAGGGCCCAGGGATCTTGGATTAACTTCGTAGGTGGGTCTGAGGGGAAGTGTCAGAATGGGAAAGAATCTATGTGCCAACTGGTTCAACCTGACCATTTTACAGATTGGGAAACTGAGGGTTAGAGAAGAAAGGGCCTCGCCTTAGATCACACAAGGAGGCAGTGACAGAGCCCAGGCTCCAACTCTGTCCCCTAGTTAAAGGCCCTGCCCAGGTTACCCCATAGGGTGGCTTCGCCATCTGGGCCCGCCCCATCCTCAAAGATGCTTTCTCTCTGAAGTCAAATGTAAACGAGGGAGTGATGCAACTGCTAAGAACAACAACTAGAACCAAAAAAAAAAAGCTGTTAGACCTCTTCACTCTTCAGCTCTATAAAACAGGGATTACACGGCTCCCAGGAAAAATAATTAAGCCAGGAAGATGAGATGCAGGGAGGGGCTGGGGACCAGGTGGGGAGTTAGCAGGGAGGCAAGACTGAGAGGAGGAGGGCAGGGCCCTCACTTCCTCTCTATGGCCTGGGCCCTTAAAGTCCTAGAGCAGCGGTTCTCAACCTGTGGGTCGCGACCCCTTTGGCGGTCGAACTATCTTTTCACAGGAGTCGCCTAAGACCATCCTGCATATCAGATATTTACATTACGATTCGTAACAGTAGCAACATTACAGTTATGAAGTAGCAACGAAAATAATTTTATGGTTGGGTCACAACATGAGGAACTGTATTTAAAGGGCCAGAAGGTTGAGAACCACTGTCCTAGAGGAACCTCCAAAGGCTTTAGAGTTAAGGAGACTTTGGTTCCCTGACCTGCTGGGGCAAAGGGGAAGCCCTGGATATTGGCTTTCATGCTCCTCCAATCCCAGAGACAACTCTCTTTCCCCCTCTTCTTCCTTCCAGAACTTCTAGTAGATGGCCATACTTTTCCATTCCTGGCCAGACCACTCTGGCCATCATGCCCACTACTCATTTGATGGCAGCTCAGCAAGTACAGACTTGTTTGAATATCAGCCTCAAATTATCCCCGGGAAGACGTGGGCCTGGGCATCACCCACTGGCAGGTGGAGCTGAGTTCTGGGTTACTGGGGCCTCAGCTCCCGCCTGCTGCCTGGGTAGCAGACAAGATTGTATCCACCAGGGTGCAGAACTCCTTACAAGTTCTGATCTCCCCTGCACCCACCTCAGGAGAAACGGGGTCCATGCTCGGGGTGTCTGGGGGGCAAGCAGAGAAGGGAAATGGGTGCTGCGTGAAGCCAAACAGCTTGAACCAGCAACTAGTCCCACCTGCTGAGTGACCTTGAACAGGTGGGTCACCCTCTCTGATGTGTTTGCCCATCTGGAGAGAAGGGCCTCTGTCCTGCCTCTAGGGAGGGAGTCTGGTAGAGGCCCCAGAAGCCCGTTCTGTGGGTGATGGGAACGAGATCCTGTCTATGGGAAGGTGAGGCGAGCCAGCCAGTTCCCTGGGACACTCAAAGACCATGAAGCCCACACCCCGCTTTTTGGCAGAACTGCAGCTGAGCCTGCCGCCCACAGAGGAGATCCTAATCTCTCCCTGGAAGGCAATGGGTTCTGCGGTCCCAGCATCCATGTCACCTTGGCTGGCCAGCTCCTACCCAAATTCCTCCAGCCCTACGGCATCCTGGGGGCAGGGGTGGGGACAGCCTCTCCTTTCTTCCCCAGCTCTCTCCCCACTTGGGGAAGGTGGATGCTCCTTGAGGCCTAACAGGACTGACATGTCCACCTTCTGCCAGCATGAGGTCTGACTCCAGCCTGCTGTGTCACCTTGTGTGCATGGCTTGAGCTCCCTGTTCTCCACTCTGTCCTGCAGAAGTGGAGACCAGGGGAAGCATGTGGGGGGCAAACCCTCTTCTGGATTTCATTCTCACTCGTCTCCCACCTCCCAGCGGAGTCCTCTGGTTCCAGAGAGGCCTGGCTTGCTCAGCACCGAGGCATGGGGGCGTGGGAGTGGGTCTTGGGCTCACCTTGAAGTATGGGAAGTGCTCCGTCATAAAATTGTAGATCTCGCTGACAGGAAGGCTCCCAGTTTTACTGTTCTTAAGGGCCATGAAGATGAGGATGCTGAAGGCAAAGAAAACCCTGAGAGTTTTAACCTCGGACCAGGCCCGGAGTCTCCCCCAAACCCTCTGCCCTAGCTGGAGTAGTTGAGGAGAGAGAACCTGCTGCAGAATTAATGGGTGAGAGGCTCTATGAGGTTGAAAGGAGAAGGGATGAAAACGTGTTTACTGAAGCCAGAAATTACAGATATGAGGGCCCTGTGGAATCTGAGAGACCTGGGCTGCAGTCCGGGCTTAGCCACTCACTAGCTGTGTGACCTTTGGTGAGTGCCTCAACCTCTCTGAACCTCAGTTTCCTCAGCTTTGAAGTGAAGAATGTAATAGCTACCTCAGAGTTGTGAGGATTAAGGGTGATGCCTAGCACATAGAAGCACTCATTAAATGGGAGCTGTCATTACCAGTCAACCCTCAGCCAACTGCAGAAATGCTGGATAGATAGCAAGGGAGGGAATTAAGGTTTTTTGAGCCTCTACAATGTGCCAGGCATATTTTTGCACTTAATCCTTCCAAAGGCCCGAATATTGCAGCTTTTTATTTTTAAAACAAATAAACAAAGGCTCAGAGAGATTAGGTAACTTGCCTGAGGTTTCACAGCTAGTACATTCCAGAGCCTGAACTTGAACCCAGTTCTGCTGGACTGCAAGGATTGCATGTGCTCCTCTCTGCATATCATCCTACCTCCCCGCAAACTCCTCTGTGTTCTTGGCTGCTGTTTAAATTCCTTTTCCTTCCCCTGAGCTCACACTGGCTAATGACCTGACCCCATGTGGGGCCTGGCACCTAGGAAGTCGAGTGTCAATGTGGTTGAATGAAGGAAAGTTCAGATAGACGGTCTCCCAGACAGGCTGGGTGCCGCTGGCCTGGCATTTACAACCCTGGCCCCAGAGAAGGTGCACCAGATCTGGAAGATGCTGGATAACTGAGTTACATCTGCAGTCCTCATTCCTCGCTTATTTCCAGCAGAGCTTTGTGGTGGGGCTTCTCTCTGTATCTGGGGAAGGAGGGTGGGAGTAGGGGGCAAGCATCCCTCCTAAACTCTCAGTCCCAGGCCCTGGGCCCCAGGAGTCTAGAACTGTGCAGGACAACAGATCTGCTGTTGAGCCACAGACATGGCTTCCCAGGGTTAGACAAGAGGTCAGAGGTGATCTAGTTTATCCCCTAGTCCCCATGAAAAAAAATCCCTTCTCCAACATACTCTGGAAGCCCATCCAACTATGAACCGCCCCCCAACACACACACCGTTACCCTTATACCATGAGGATTCCATGCCTCAGTTTCCCCAAGGGTCCTCTCACCCCTCTTTGTTCCATCCAGGAGTGTTGGGAGACATACCTGTAGGAGTAGATGGGTTTGGGGAAGAGTGGCTGGTGCCCATCAGTGCTGGCCTGGGGTGCAATCCGCTGGTACGGATAGTGTGGGGAGCCCAGGTAGGGTACAGGGTAGCTGCCGCCACCTGGTGAGTACTGTAGAGGTCAAAGGAGGCAGAGTGGTTGCCATGGTAACCATCCTTCCCAAGGGGAGGCTCCCCTTCCCTCAGTCATGTACATCCAGAGAGAGAGCTGAGACTAGATTCTTCTCTCCCTGGTCCTAGGCTCCACCACTCATGGTCATGGTCATGGGCTCCAGTGGCAGAGCTACCTGAGGGGCTTGGCCAAGGGTGTGGACATCTGAGTGCCTGTGAGGAGATCCGCATTCTAGAACTCAGGATCTCAGAGGCCTCAAAGCTCCCTTGGTCCAGCACTTTTCTCTGAGGCCTTCTGGGGACTCTGGTTGCCATGGTGATGGGATAGCAGCCTGGCTGCGCTAGAAGTGCGATGGGTAGTCCTGGCTTCCGCACCCTCCTGGGCAGGCGCTCCAGGCCTCCCTTGCATCTCCTAGGGCAGCGGGGCCGGAAGTGGGATGTCCAGCCTGGGCGTTTGCTGGGCACTGCCACCTTTTATGAGTTTCAGTGGCTCTTTGAAAGGGCCGGTCATGGTGGTGGGCAGGTGGGGTAGGAGGTGGTTTACAGCAAAGGGAGTGGCTGTGGTGCCAGGGACGGTGTTTTATGGGGGCGAGGGGGAAGGGAGACTCTGACTCCCCCACCTGCTCCAAGCTGAGGTGCTTTTTCCAGGTCACCCGAGCGGCACGTAGTGCCTGAGTCACCCCCTCCGCAGTCTCCATAAAGTCCTGGGTGCGGCCATCTTGGAGGTTGGGGTGCGGAACGCAGAGGGCATCAAAGCAGGGCGGGCACGGTGAGGCCATTTAAGGTCTGGTAGCCCCTTAGCCAGGGGTCCTCAAACTTTTTAAACAGGGGGCCAGTTCACTGTCCCTCAGACCGTTGGAGGGCCGGACTATAGTTTAAAAAAAGCCTATGAACAAATTCCTATGCACACTGCACATATCTTATTTTGAAGTAAAAAAACAAAACGGGAACAAATACAATATTTGTATTTGCATGTGGCCCGCGGGCCGTAGTTTGAGGACCCCTGTAAACAGGGGGCCAGTTCACTGTCCTCCCTCAGACTGGAGGGCCGGACTATAGTTTAAAAAAAGCCTATGAACAAATTCCTATGCACACTGCACATATCTTATTTTGAAGTAAAAAAACAAAACGGGAACAAATACAATATTTGTATTTGCATATGGCCCGCGGGGCCGTAGTTTGAGGACCCCTGCCCTTAGCCCTGCTGTGTTGTTCCCTGACGGGCCAGGCTGCCTCAGGAACACCCTCTCCCCCAGGTCAGACCAGCGGCCTCAGGAAGGCTTTGACCATTCCAGCTGGGCCCCTCATGGGATGACCCCTCATGTGTCCCCTCTGCTTCCTTCCATCTCTTTCTTTTTTCCCACAAACCAAGCAGCCTGGCTACTTCCCCCCGCCACGTGCCTGCCTCCCTGGCTGCACCAAGACCAGGGCCAATGCCAAAGGCTGGGAGTAGAACCTGCTCCACAGGCAGGGCCTGTCTCAGTGCCAGGCTGCAGGTGGATGGAGCTGGGCGCTGGGCAGCCACTTGCTCCGTCTTGCCCGGCGACTCCTGGGAGCTGCTTACCTGCTCTGGGGCTCTTTTCTTTCTTTCTCTTTCTAAAAACCTCCATCCCATGCCCGTGTGGGGCAATTACTTGGCAACCTGTACATCTAGGAGGAGCTGAAGCTGGGCAGTGAGGTGGGGAAGGGGAAAACGGCTGAAGGTCATGGGGACTTGAAGCCTCCAGGTGGGAAGGTCCCCTAGTCCCACCCTGTCTGAGCTGAAAGGAAGTTTGAGGCCAAGGCCACATAGGAAGATGGTGGCCGGCCCGGGCGGCAGTCCATTGTTCCCTGCCCTGCTCAGCCTTGTGTGTCACCCCACACACTCCTTTTCTCTCGGCCTCGTCTTTGTCTGGTTCTCCTCCTCCCTCCTTTTGTGGTTCACATCCGGTCCCTGCCCCAATCTCAGCCCCAATTCTCTTTTCTGAGACCTCTCAGGTTCTACCTGGGTCTCAGAAAGCCCTGCCCAATCCCACAGAAGGGCAATTGCTTCCCTCCCCATGAACCCTGCCCCCACCCCCACTGGCCCAGCCTGAGGATTAAGGCCCTGCTGCCCACCCAGATGTATACACACCCCCACACCACACACCCACAGAGGATCCTGAGACTCGGGAAGCAAGCCCACTTGCCCCAGACCCACCTGGTGGAAGGGAGGCTGGGAGGGGCAGTACATGTGCTGCAAGGGGGGCTGGAAGCAGTACATGCCAGGACCAGTCTCCAGAGCTGGGGGCTTGACCTTGACTTCCGACCCCTGTTGGAAGAAAAAGCAGATGACTGGGCTAGGCCTTATTTTTCTTCCTTCCTCTTGTCTGTTTCTTAAACCTTCCACAAAAACAACCCCTTCTGTGCCTCCCCCAGAACTTATTCCTGGACAACAGAGAACAGAGAAGGACGGGGATTTTTCTGAGGGTGCTCAGCAAATTAGTGGCGGAGCTGGGGCTGGAACCAGCAGTGCTCCCTACCTCCCACCTCACTGCAGGTGAAAGGCTGAGACTGGGCTGTCCAGAGGAGTGGGGGAGACTTGTCAATGGTTTCACTGAGGCTGGGGTAGGGCAGAGATCTCCCTGGAAGGGCACAAGGGTGCAGGGCCTGACCCCTCTCACCAAGCCGAGCCCAGGGCCTGCTTGCTGGTTCAGAGCCCCCAGCCTTTTAGAACAGGTCTGCAGAGGACACCACGGAAAAGGCCCCAGCTCTGCAATTCCCACTGCAGAGCCATGGTGAGGGGAGCACAGGAAGTGACCAGAGAGGTTGGTCCAGCTGAGGCCCTCAGGCCTTGCCACTTTCTCTTTTGCAAAGCCCAAGGGAGCTCTAGCAGGCTCCCTGGAGGGGGCTAAGTGAGTCCTCTGCTCTGTCCTCCCCAACCATCCCCCACTCAGAGCCTTTGCGCCCTGCTCCAGGGAGTCTGCCCCACTGCTGGTCTGCATGAGCCTGTGGCACTCTCTCAAACTGGCCCAGGGAGCCTGTAGCTCCTGCCGGTAGTGGTGGCCAGACTCCGGCTTCCCATGAATTGTGAGCCCCTCAAAGAGTCCTCAGGGCCTAGCACAGAGCTAGGCCCAGGAAGATCAACAAGGTTGGTAGGTCAACAAGGCCTGGAGGAGGTGGGCCGCTGTTCCTGGGGTTATGAGGGAACCGGGAACCAGCATGTGGGCCCAGAGGGTCAAACCAGCTGAGAGCTCTTTCTGGGTGTGCCCTGGGGTTGCTGATGCATAGATAGCCACAATCATAGAATCTCAGGCCTGGAAGGGCCAAGAGCATTGTGTCCAACCCCCTCATTTGGCAGATGATGGGGCTAAGCCCATGAAGGGGAATTGATGTGCCCGGGTCACCTAGAGAGTCGGCCAGCGAGCTGTGGGGCTCTGGGCCTGAGCTTTTCTCCACTGTGCAGGGGCTAAGGGCGTGGGCTCAAGTCTCAGCCTCACCTCTATGGGGCCTCAGTTTACCCATCTGTAAAATGGAGATAGGGGGAGCTCTTTAGAGGTTTGTTGTGAGGATTAAATGGGGCGCTTGAAAGCAATCGCCTGGCAGAGTGACCAAGGGCAGGCGCTGAGTGGACATTGGGTGTGAGTATGATGGTGCCTCACTGTGAGCTGCTGTCATGTTCCACAGGCCCGAGGAGAAGCCATCAAAAGGCCCAGAACCAGAACAAGGTCCTGTCTTGGCCACACCTAGTAGGTGCCCAACCCTTTTCTCTATCTTCCAAGCCTGGGAAACAGGTCTTTGTTGGGGGTGGCTGGGGGGTGGAATGGGAGCCTATTTGAAAGCAAGAGGTGAGGAGGGCTGGTGGGCATCTAGAGCAGGCACAGCCCAGGCTGAGCCCACTCAGTGCGCACCGCCTCAGGGGCCTCCAAAGCTGGGGAGAAGGGAGCAAAGCTCCTCTTAGCTTCCTCTTCCCAAGGCAACAAGTCTCTGAGGCAGATACTATTAAGCACACTTTTTTGAATGAGGCTCAGAGAGCTTAAGAGATTTGCCTAAGGTCACACCGCTTGAGGATATGGCCGTGAAGGACATGTTGACCTTCCAAAGTGCTTTCAAGATACTTCTACAAACATACCCAGGTCCCTCTCTGGGCAAAGAATGGGGCCAGGAAGTATCCTTTGAGAAGACTTAAGTCCTCTCTCAACTCTGCAAGCTGATGCTGGAGAGGGGAATATTGTATTCGGTGGCTCCTCCCTTAACCCTTTCTCTTGGTCTCTGGAATGTGTTTTTCTTCTCACATTTGCATATGGGTGTATCTACGTCTGGCTGGGGATTCTTGACACTTAAACAAACAGAGAGAAGTCACACACTGGGATCCTGACTCAGGAGCCACTGGGAAGCTGCCAGCTCGCTTCCTTAGCCTGACCTGCCTACCGCACCTTGTCTCCTCCACGCCGGGCCAGGCCAGCATGCCCTTCCTAGTTGACCTGGAGGCCCCGAGTCTCTGAGCTTGCTGCTTCCTTGATACACACAGAACCTGAGTGGAAAGGTCTGGGAAGGGAAGGGGGGGAGTTTGATCTCTGAGGACTCACCTGGGCTGCTGGGAGCGGGCACAGAGGATAAGTGGGCTGCCCACTGCCCACTGGTACTTACCAGGACCTGGGGGCTGTGCTCATGGCTGGAGTAGGGGAGCCCATTGCACCAGGCCTCTGCTGAGAAGCCAGGCAGGAAGGCCTCAGCCTCCCCCACATCCACAGGGATCTCTTCAAAGGCCTCCAGCACCCCCGGGGTCTTAAAGGCGTGTCCATCAAGGGCCAGGGCAGTCTGGGCCTCGGGGAAGATGTCCTCCTGGAAATGCCGCTTGTACGGGTGGAAAGGCACGTGGCCGCCCTTGAGGAAGCGCCCGGGACTGCTGGCCGGGCCCTCTTCAAAGCTGAAGCCGGGGTACTTGTCTGAGGGTGAGAGCCGGAAAGGGCTGGGGCCAGGACCCGCCGTGCAGTGGACTTGCTCAGGGCCTGGTGAAGCGATGCTGGGGCTGTGTGGGGGCAGTGAGGGTGCCCTCTCCGGAGGGCCATCGGGCACAAATGACGAGCAGCTGAAGCCGGCATGCTTCTGGGTGGACAGAGGGGAGAGGCCTGTGAGTGGAGGCTGGACCAGGATCCTGCTCTGTGTTTGGGTAAAGGGGGTCTGGGGCTGAGCTCTTGGAGCCCCCATATGATGGAGGAGACCTAGCCTGCCCTTGGAAGCCCCAATACGATGAGGGTACACTGCTCTTAAACCCGGGGTGCCCCAGTAGGTGGATGCACGTTCCTGCTCTGGAAAAGCCCCAGCCTGAAGGAATGAGCCTATCTGAATACCTCTGGGTCTTGGAGTCACTGGGTCGTTGTTTGCTGGTGGAAGGGACAAGACAGACCCCAGGGAGGTCCCTGGAGGGTGGGGCGATTGTTCACCTGTTTCCCATGCAGCCCTCAGGACTTGGCCTCAGCCCAGGCCTGGGTGCCAGGTACTTACGCTCTGTGGGGCAGGCGAGCCTGGGAGGCCCGGGGCCTGCATGAGGTCCCCTTGGGGCTCGCCCTCCAGTCTGGTGGGGCCCGGCAGCGTGACGTCAGACTGCGGCGGGAGTAGCGACACCATCACCCAGTCCTGGCCTCGAAGAAAGCCGGCTGTGATGAGAATGAGGCCCAGTGTCCGGGGGTGACCAATCCCAAGTCCACCACCTCCACTCCCACCCCATCCCTGGGCTGGGATCCTGACTCCAGCCTGACATCTTGATGAGAAAGACAGACAGACAGACAGACAAAGAAACTGAGAGAACATTAGAAACAGAAGTAAGCAGGTCATGTGAGAGATAGAGCAAGAAAGACAGACAGAAAGAGAAGCCTGGTGGGGAGAGAGCAAAATGAACCAGTTAGGAGCCTCCCCCGCCCCCCACGGAGGGAGGGCTTGGCTGCTCTAGACTCTGCAGCTGCAGAATAGTGAACTAGGAGAGGTTCCCAGCGAGACCCTGCCTCCGGCTCCTGCCACCTTGAAGGCCCGGGCTAGGTGACTGGCTAGTAGTCTCTGTGCAGTGGCTGAGCAAGTGGGTGGTCCTGAGAGGAAGGGGAGCTGGAGAAGGAAGGAAGTGGGCTAGGCCCAGGTGGGAGTGACCCTCCCACTGCAGGTGACCAGCCCTCAGCAGAGGCCTGTGGTGCCATCCTCGGGCACCTTGGCCTGGCTCTCAAGACCAGGGTACAACTCGAGGGGACCTGATTCCTGGTGGCCCTGAGAGCCTGGCATGGCACAGGGGATGATGCCACTCGTCCACTGTGGAATGTCTGGCTGTTTTCTCCTGTGTTCTTCACATTTTGCTCTGGCCACTGCCTTTTCTGAGCTGTTGTTTCACTGTTTGAAACACTAGAGACTTAGACTACATGATATCTGAGGGCTCCTTCTGCTCATTCCTTCTAGAATTGTAAGAGAACTCTGTCCCCAGCATAGCTGTGTGGTTGAGGACTCAGCTCAAAGCCAGCCTTGGCCTTTCCTTGCTAGCTGTGCCAGCGAAGCTCTCTGAGCCTCAGCATTATCATCATCAAACCAGGGAGAGAGCGAGGGCCTCCCTCGTGGGCATGCCGTATCAACGGAAATCGTGCACGCGCAGTAGTTAGCATAGTGCCTGGCACATCGTAAGTGCTCAATAAGTGCCAGCTCTCATTATTCTGTGGCTTATTAGTATGGCTCTTACTATCGTTATCTCTCAGTTCTCTGCCTTCCTTCTCCACCATCTGCAAAGAGCAGTTTCTCTTGAATTTACTCCTCCTGACCTAAGGGGTCTCTGATAAAGGCTACCATTTACTGATGCCTGCTCTGGGCTGGCCACTGTGCACACGATGTGGAGAATTTTCTCATTGGTTTGTTAGAACAGCTGTGAGGAAAGTACATTATTAATCCCACCTTTCAGATGAGGAAACTGAGGCCCGGAGGGGTTATGTGACTGGCCCAAGTCACATAGCTAATCCTTGATAGAGCCAGGATTCGAACCCAGATCTGTCTGACTCTGGAGTCTGTCTTACAGTTTCTTCATTTGGTGGGGGTCAGAGTGGGGCGAGCTGGGGTGGGGCAGGCAACAAGGAAAGCATGAGGTTCGTACTTATCCCTCTTACCCAGGACCCACTCACGCAGAACAGGATAACTGCATCTCCCAAGCCCTGCGCTCCTAGGGGCTCTGGGAAGGAGGAATGGCCTTGCTGACTCCATGGTGCCCAGCCTGGGGTTAGCACCTCTTTGCTACATTATCTCCTTTGTTTGATAGGAGGGTAACAGGGACGAGGAAGGGAAAGCATTTGCCCAACGTCCCTCAAGGGATCCGTGGTGGAGAGGGCTGGTCGCTGGGGTCCAGGTGGGGGCCTGGTGGGAGGCTCTCCCGCCCCTTCAAGAGTCTCCACCGCCCCTTCTCCATGTCCAGGCGCCCGCTCACTCGGCAATGCTAAATGTGGCGTGACCGGGGAAGCGCCGAGCTGGCCGTAACTGGACACCGAGGTGGAGCAGGCATGGGGCCCAAGGGGCAGGGCAGCCCATCTCTGGCTCCGCATGACCGCCTGGTCTGGCCCCCGCTCCCTGGACAGCTCCTGGACAGCGGGGGCCTGCCTGTCACTCCTGGCCCTGGCCCAGAGTTGCTTTCCCAAGGCGTTCTCCAGCTCCTCCAGAGGCCAGGCCGGGTGGGGGCCCTCCCCCCCGCAGGGAGCGGTGTTTGGTCCCCTCTGGAGGCAGAATAAAATGTGGTTGAGAGCAAGGGTTTAGGATTTCAGCTGACTCGAGTTTGAATCCCAGTGGTGTCACCTCCTGGCTGGGTGACTTTGAACCAACTGTGTAATTCTCTTTCTTTGCTTCTCTGGTCAATGGGGATTGTGCACCCACCTCAAAGGGTTGTCGGGAAGATTAGGTGAGATGATGGGTATAAGGTGCCCACACATAGAAAACGCTTAAGGACACATGTCACACATCTGGCCTCATTGGCCAACTGTGACCGTGGTCTCTGACCCCAGACTCTCTTTTCCCTGATGGTCTCGCTGCTTCAGGCCTGACAGGCCTGGGGAGTTTGGCTTATGGCCCCATGCCCGGTGGCAGCTGCCCTTGTGAGTCCTTCCTGTCTGCCTGGCCTTCACTCAGCTTGGCCATAAGGGGGCTCAGACCCCATCTCTGCTCCTCTGAGGCATGAACGTCAGGAGGCCTCTCTGAGCCCTAGGTTGGGCCGCACCGCCTCCTGAGGGTCTGGCCTTCGCAGAAGGACCCCTGCAGCATCTGCCTCACCCCCATCCTTGCTTTAGTCCCTATGTCCCAGGACATTGTTTGTAGCCCTGGCTGAGTTCCTGCATGTCAGAGTCCTTACCTGAAGGCTTCAGTTCAGCCATGACTTTTATACCCTGGCTTGGTCAACTCTACCCCCCTCCCCACCACACACACACCTTCCAAGCCCCCAGGCACAGGATTAGAGCCAGGGAGGCCACGCAGAATTTAGAGGTTTGTCCCTTGACTTGCATTGAGGATGTAGAAGTCCCTGAATGGTCCTCCGTGCAGGGTTTCCTCTGGGAAGGTTTTATCAATAATGACCCCTGACTTGGTGACCACGGCCCCCCTTTGGTTGCCTCAGCCAAAGCTCTGTTTCACAAATGAGGAAGGAAGGACCAGAGAAGAGGTCAAGTGACTTGGGTAAGATCATATAATCCTGGAAAGAGGGGTCCTTGACCAACGGCAGTCCAAAGGACCCTCCTGCCTCAGGGGTGGGGCTGAGGGGTTCTGATGGGTGTATAGGGGGGCTCCTGTCCAGGGAGGGAAAGGCTCACTGAGAGGGATGAGGCTGCCTTGGCTCCTGACCACAACCTGGAGTAGTTGGTGAAACTCCTGAAGTTGGATGAAGTAGGATGATGTAGTTCAGAAGCCCTAGAATCAGGATTGGATTTGGATCCCAGTCACTGTGGGGCTTTGGGTGGACAAGTTGCCTAACTTCCTTCCCTGGGCCTCAGTTTCCTCATTTGTAAAATGGGGCTAATAATACGTATCTCTCTGGAGGATTAGATGAAATATTGCTTGTAAAGAGCTTAATGCATAGTATGTGCTCAATAAATGATAGCTATTATTAATAATTAACAGTGGGACAGAGTTAATTCAAAGCATGAACTCTAGTTATAGGAGCAGGCAGAGCAGAGGAAATTCCTCTTCCTGCTGTCCACCTCCATCTCCCTGACATCCTCCTACCCTATTTGCAGAGGCTAAACTTCCTTCCTCTTGATTCTCTGACCTCAGAGATCATTTTAGCCATTCCCCTAAGGTGGGATGGCTGTAGGAGCTCCCAGGGATTAGCCCAGCTGGCGTGGCTCAGTGATTGAGTATCGACCTATGAACCAGGAGGTCATGGTTCGATTCCAGGTCAGGGCACATGCCCGGGGTTGCGGGCTCCATCCCCAGTGTGGGGCGTGTAGGAGGCAGCCAAGCAGTGATTTTCTCTCAGCATTGATGTTTCTATCTCCCTCTCCCTCTCCCTTCCTCTCTGACATCAACAAAAATATATTCGAAAACACAACAACTCCCAGGGATTAGAGTAAGAAGGAGGGAGTGACTGTTGCTTTGGATCTCTCAGGAGGCCTCTCTGATGCCATCTGCATTTAGAAGAAATCCTTTCCTGACGATTCCTTTATCCCACCTGCTTCAGTTTCAGGAAGCACAATAGGATGTGTGTGTGCAAACAGCAGCAAACCAATGCAGGAGGCCCAGTCAGCTCTCCGCCTTTCTCAGATCCTGGGAGCTACCCCAGATGGCACTCATCGTCCCGCCATTTAGTGTGGGCACCCACAACCCACAATCCACAAGCTCCCCCTTCCTGGGCGGGAGCTAGGCCAGGGCTCTCAATATGCCCTGGAGTCCCTTCCACTCTACGGTTGATCCTCATCACCACTCCGCATCCATAAAGCGCTCTGTAGTTTACAAAGCACTTTTGTATCTGTCATCTCATTTCGTCTGCCCTTTGCCCCAGAGGGGAGCAGGCAGTGGTGCGCTGCAGCCAGCAGCGATGGGCTTGGGAGAGCCAATTGTGTCCATCTCTTCCCGACTCCACGTTCAGTGAGATCAGCCCAAATTGGCCGCGGTGGAAGTATTTTCCCACAGAAATTAGCAAATACTATAAATTATAAATCAGAGCCCCTTTTTTTCCCCTCCCCATTTTTCAGGGGAGAAAACCGAGGCCCAGAGAGAAGTGACAAGCCCAGGACCACAGAGCTAAACCTGAAAACCACATCTATTCATTCTCAGGCCTTGAGAGCCCCAACCGCATCCCCAAACACACACACGCTCCAGGGGTACAACCCTGGCAAACCTTAGCTGAAGACCATTTCAGTATCTGGGCATTCTGTCTACCCTCCTCGTTCTGAACTTCCTTCCATGATCCTTGGGGAGTGGGAGGGCAGGGGTGGAGGTGAAAGAAGCAGACTCGATCTTCCCTGGAGTCAGAGGGAAGAAAGAAATGGCCCTCTAACCTGAGTAGGGAACATGACAGGTAAGAAATTTCCCAGAATGCATAAATCAGGCTCAACCATGAACCTTATTGAATGCCTGCTCTGTGCCCGTCTCACAAACAGCCAGGCCTGCACCCCCTCTACCCAGCACATTTTCCCATCTCTCAGACCATTTCCCT